ATAATAGTTGGAGAAAGGTTAAGGACATATCTGGATCATACCCAGTTTTTTCCCCGTTTAGCTGTAAACAAGTAGTATGGAAAGCATCCCTGGGAGAGGCAGATAGCTCTCTCATTTTCTGTTATTCCTGCATCAATGCTCAAAAGCTGGTCAAGCGGAGTGCATGACTTCTTACTGATCCTATGATTGCCTTTATCTACTGCCTAACATTTTAGGTGGGAGGGGGGGAGAGCAGGCTAAGGCCCCAGACTACAGAGGCTGGATGTGCTGAATGCTTGCATCTGTTGTCAGAATCAAGGTTAAAGACCATGCAGGACAAAAATAGGGGATTTGGGATAAATGGTATTTTTTGTAACCGGTGATAAGGACATTAATTCACATGCTCACAGTCCTTATTACATCCTTTCTCAAAAGGCAAAGCCCTGTGGCCAGCATGTGCTCTCTTCTGGCAACTGCACAGCAACCCAGCAATTCAAGTGAATAATAATCAGGATATTGTGGCTTTCACATTATTGTGTTCCTGGCTCAAAGAAGCCTCTTGCCTGAAAGATGTCTCTTATCAGCTTGGATAATTAGCATGCATTCTGCCCACTGTTGCCGTTTGTTCTTTTTCCTCTTTAGCCGTGAGATTTTAAAAAATTAAGTTTCTGAGGGTCAGACCTGCATGAAATAAAGATGCTGTGTCCCCAAACTCAAGTTTCCAACCATTATGAAAGGCAACTCAAAAAGTGTGGCTAGGCTAGTTCTTTTGTGCCAAGGTGATGGGTGCACCTCAGTTATATAGGGGTGGCAAATATGGACAAATATCTAAAAAAATATGTTGCCAGCATGGAAAACTCTAGCAGGGGCTATTTCCAGATGTGATGAAGTCAGAGCAACTATGATGCAGTACCATCTTATGCAGCAGACAACTGAGGAACAAATACAGTGGTACCTTGGTTTTAAGAACAGTTATGGACAACTTGGAAACAGAACGCTGCAAACCTGGAAGTAGGTGTTCCAGTTTGTGAACTTTGCTTTGGAAGCTGAACATGTTCCGCTTTCTGTTGAGTCTTCCGTTTGTAAATTGAGTCCCCCGCTGCTAATCAGAGGCTTCCTGTTGAGTTTGTCGGCTGTTGAGTCCCGAGCACCCATGCAACACGGATGTGATATGTGGAGCTTTTGTTTTTGCTATTTTTTGTGTTTTTGTTTGTGAGGCTTTTTGGGTTTTTTGACAGTGACTTGTTCTTCGTTTTATGGGACTGGCTTGTGACTGTGGCTTGTGACTTCATTTTTGTGACGGTGTGGAACCCAGTTCAGCTACTGATTGCTTGTGTGACTGCAGGAATGGATAAAAGCCCCCCATCCAAACAATGACTATCATCAGTGCACGTAAGAAAAAAAATTCATTTTAATTTTTATCATCTACAATACTGTCTTATTTATTTTATAGTACAGTACATTAATTATTGCTTTCATTTTATGGATCAATTGTCTCATTAGATAGTAAAATTGATGTTAAATTGCTGATTTATTTATTTATTTAAAATGATATTTATTGAGAATTTAAAATTACAGAAAGAGAAAGGAAAAAACAAGAAAAAAGAAAAGGAAAAAGTATACAAAAAAGAGATTAAACGATATAAGTCAATAAAAACAAAAGTAAAAAAAAAGCAAAACACACAATACATCAGAATAATAAAAAAAATAAACAAAAAATTTAAAAGCAAATCCAATATTCCCAAATCCTTATCTTTCATTAACTTGTTTCATCAACCTCCTCACTCCTCCCTTTTTTGTATTCTAGTTATTAATTATCTCAGCAAATCCTTTCCATCTTTCACAATATTCTGTCATTAAATTACCTTAATCTATTTTAACCTTATCTTACCATAAAAAACCCTAAAGCTTAAAACTTAAATCTTATTTATACCTAATTCTTTTTAACAAAACATATTTATACATAATTCTTTTTAACATTTCTACTAAAGCCAAATAGTTTCATTCCAACATTTTTCTAATGCTCATTAATTTTACAATGGTTTTCTAAATGAATTTTTAAAACTTTCTTCCAATCTTCATCCGTCGTCTCTTCTTCCTGGTCTCGGGTTTTGTCAGTCCTTTCTGTTCCATCCATCTAGTCCATCAACCTGGTGACCTTCTATCCGAGGCTCTTAAGTCTTTTCCATGTCCCTTCTGCAGGTCTTCTTCATATTTATACCTGTACTTTACTTTATCTTCTGCTGATCTTATTCTTAATTTCCTTCCTTTCTCTCAGGGAGACTCCAGCTTGACAATATCTTTATCCCTTCTCGACAAGTCAGCCCATTCTCCATAGTCGAAACTGAAATCCAAAAGATATTTAGAGGCATATTTCAAAGTCCCTCCAAGATTATGGGCCCCCACAACTCCGAACTCCCCCTGGCCCAAAGCCAGATCCGAAAAGTCAGAACATCCCTGCATAGGGGGATCTATCCAACTTCCCATCTCCAGACCAAACAGTACTCCATCTCTCCAAATCTGACTTTCTCCAGGTTCAGTCGTCAAAGACAGCAACTTATGTTCCTGCAAGGCCGCAGCTCTCTCCATTTCTGGTACTTGAGGTTCAGCAACTACCTCCTCCTTTATCTTCTTCACCACTTGCTCTGTCAAAGCACATTCCTGGATTGATTCCTGAGTGGTTTCTATATAAGTATTCACTGTTTGTCCAAAATTTCCAACTGCAACAGTCATCAAATCCATCTTCTCATGTAGCTGTTCCAGTAAAGCACTTGTCTTGCAAAAAGCAAGCACTAAAGCTTCTTCTGGGCACATTCTTGTTCAAGGTCGGTGTCTAGTTCCCATGATCTTTTATCTCTACAGCTGTAGAATTCCCCAGATCGACTCCAGCAACAGTTTCACAAGCTCCCTCTAGAGGAAACAATTTCTATTTGTATCCGTCTTTTTAAAAGCAGATCTAGCAACAAAGTTCCTTTCGTTTTCCAGATATTTTGTTCCTTTTAAGTGCAAAAGGGAACATTGGAATCAATATGTTTCTCTTTTTTAACTATCTGTCAAAAACGTTTTGTCCACAGTCAATGAACTTCCCCAAAGTGTCTGTCTCTGACACCCCGCTCCCAGGATCAAGACGGTGGAAAATTATCTTTCTTTACTCTCTCTTCTGCAGGTTTAAACAATCTAAAAAGATTCCCCCCCTCTTCTCCTGCTTCCAAGGGGGGTTTAGTGATTTTAACTGATGGAAATTTAGTCCTTTACAAACGACTTTCCAGACTCTAGCTTGCAATGTCTTTGCTTCAATCTATTTACAAAAGCGGAAGGCGGACTTCCTGTTTAGACCTTCCCGCTTCGGTGCCAAATTAAAAAGTTTCTTAATCCAATTTTCCGTTCTACTCACGGGCAGTTGTTTAAAATCCAATTGTCCACAGGAAAAAGTCAGTGCTCTCCGGCAACAGCAATGCGGCTTCACTCCATGAAAAAAGCAGTCGATTCAAAGCACCGTGCCATTCGCCCCACGACGCTCCGGATCCCCGAAACCGGGTTTCCCCGCGAGTAGGGGAGGCGCAAAAGGTGCCAGCCGAATCCCACGTCCACAGGCTTCTCCCGCCTGTGGTTTTTAATGGGTCTCCGCCTCGCCGCGGTGGTCCAGACCCTAGTTCTCACGAAGTGGATTCCTCCTGGTCAGAGAAAATCCGCCATTGCCGGAGGCGCTAACCCGGAAGTCTCCTAAATTGCTGATTTAGAGGTTGTTTTTAAAAGTCTGGAACGGATTAATCCATTTTGCATCCCTTTCAATGGGAAAGCGTTCCTTGGTTTTGGAACGCTTTGGTTTTGGAACAGACTTCCGGAACTGATTAAGTTTGGGAACCAAGGCACCACTGTAGTCCTTAACAAAAACAAAAGCAGAGTTAGTGGGAGGGGGGGCAAGGGGAATTAAATTTATCCAGTGCTGCACATGTGGAGTTCTGCTTGTACAGTGGAACTTCCCTCTTCCATGACTTCCCCTCCTCACACCCCCAAGAACTGTTCTAGAGCATCCCCCTACTTTCCAGAGCAGAGTCTGAGGGTGCACAGAGGAGTGCAGGAGAAAAGAGGAAGGAAAAGTTCCTTTGCATAGGCATCATGAGGTACAACACTGCATTTTTAAAAAAATTAAGAATTCTTTATTACAATGAAATAATTAGCATACATACAAGTACTCCAATAATAAACCCTGAACAGGTCAAATTCTATGCATCATATAAAAACAATTTCTATACTGCCTTTTATGTAAACATCTCAAGACTCTGTACATTAAAACGTACTTACAGAATGAATTAAATAGCGGTCATTAGTCCAAAACAGAAATAGCAAGTTATTACAGTCAACTGCTTCCAATATCCAGCAAAGACCTGAGATAATAAATAAGTTTTTAGCAGACACTGAGATGCCATCAATGTTGGCAACTGCCTCAATTCGGGGGGGGGGGATGTTTCTAAAGAGAAGGCACCACTATCAAAAACATTTCAACATATGCCAAGCACATTTGAACCCAAAGCTCTTCACCAGCGGCCTAACAGAATATCAAACAAATTAAACACTGATTTCAGCTACCATGGGGACAACTGACAGTATAAATTTGGCACAGGAAGATGAGCTTGAGACCCAGATTAATGAATATAGATGGGCTAGTATGTGGGCTCCCCTCCCCTTATGAACTACCTCTGCCAAAATCCAAGACGCAGTGCTAAAGACACTCCTTAGATGGCACTGGAGTCTTCCATTCACATCAGCCATATACTGTATTTTTTGCTCCATAAGATGGCTCCTGACCATAAGACGCACCTAGTTTTTAGAGGAGGAAAGCAAGGGGGGAAATCTGTCCAGAGCATGTAAGCGGCTCTCGCTTTTCTTGCTTTAAAGCAAGCAAAGTGAGAGCCGCTTACATGGCCTCTCTCTCGCTTTGCGCAGCTCTCACTTTGCTTGCTCATCCCTCCTCCTGCCTAGCTGTAAAAGAGGAGGAGGAGGAGACACTGGGACAGGTGCTTTGCTTGCTTTACAGCGAGGCGGGAGGAGGGGTGAGCAAGCAAAGTGAGAGCTGAGCAAAGCAGGACAGAAGCCATGTAAGCGGCTCTCACTTTGCTTGCTCCCATCCATCCCTCCTCCCGCTTCGCTGAGAAGCCAGCAGAGCAGGAGGCGCTGCACAGCTCTCGCTCTTGCACTGCTGGCTTCAGCAGAGCAGCGCAGTGCCTCTTGTTCTGCTGGCTTCCAGCAAAGTGGGAGGAGGGACGGACGGGAGCTCTTACACTGAGCCAGTGTGGCGTAGTGGTTAAGAGCGGTAGACTCGTAATCTGGGGAACTGGGTTCGCGTCTCCACTCCTCCACATGCAGCTGCTGGGTGACCTTGGGCCAGTCACACTTCTTGAAGTCTCTCAGCCCCACTCACCTCACAGAGTGTTTGTTGTGGGGGAGGAAGGGAAAGGAGAATGTTAGCCGCTTTGAGACTCCTTTGGGTAGTGATAAAGCGGGATATCAAATCCAAACGCTTCTTCTTCTTCTTCCTCCTGCTTTGCTGCAAAGCCAGCAGAGCAAGAGCGACAGATGGGAGCCATGGCTCCGGCTACGGAGGCATCCCTCAGCTCACGACTGCAGCGGTAGCCAAGGGATCCCTCTGCTGCCCAGTGCATTTGCTCCATAGACGCACAGACATGTCCCCTTAATTTCTAGGAGGAAAAAAGTGTGTCTTATGGAGCGAAAAATACGGTAGTTTCACCCTTCTGATGGCAGGGCTATAAAACCATAGGTTCTTTTTTACATATGTGGTGGGTGGGTGCACTGGTCAAAAACTTTTGGGATATTGTTTTGGATAAAATTTCTGATATAACCAGACAAACAATCCCCTCCACCACAGCTTTTGCTGTCTTATCCTTCACCGAGCAACTGGAAGCAAGATTTATAAGAACCAAGTAATACTGCTTCATGGAAACATGAAGGCAGTCTCTCTTTAGAGAGATGGATGGCCAAAGACTAGGGCATGGCCTTATCTGAAAAGTTAAAGCAGCACAGCAGGATAGTGTGTGGTCTTTTTCGCCATGGGAAATTTGACAGTATAGGGTATCCCTTCATCACATATATCAACAGATCTCTTTCATTGTTTTCTCCCCCACTTACCCACATTTCATTCTGGCAAAGTTCCATAAGATGAGCAGACACAGTGATTTAGCCTTAGACATCCCTTAGGGTTGCCATATTTCAAGAAGTAAAAATCCAGACACAAAAGGTTGCTGAGCTTTCCTAGGGCAATCGCCCAATCGCCTCACCACCAAGCCAGAGCCTGAAACTGAGCTGCCCGGGCACATTTAACAAAAATCAAATCCATAATCGAAGACATTTGCTTTAAAATGTAAAATTCTCCCTGGGTGGGCATGTAGGACCCCCAAAAGAGGACATGCCTGGGAATCCCCGGACGCACAGCAACCCTACTTTTACTCTTCAGCATAATGCGTATTAAGTTAAGGCAGAGCTCTTTACTGTTTGTAATTCTGCTTACCTTTATAGTCCAGTCTCAACTGCATTAATTTTAATACATGATTTACTTCTTCTTTTATTGAAAAAAACCCACAAAAAGGAAAGAAAGAAATTAAACATGGGCAATCAGTAAGAGAGACTGACAGACAGACAGACAGACCCTTCTAGGATACATGTTGGTTTTGACTCTTTCACATAACCCTTTCAGCCTTTGTTGAGTCCCATCTCCATGGATGCAGCACTTCCACCCAAGAATCTTAAGACAGGTGAGGAAATGCTGAGAAAGATAGAATTGCCAAGAAGGGTGAACCGGGTCACAGTGGAATTGAAGTCCAGACTTCCACAACATCACTGGCCCCATCTACAGTGAGTGAGGGAGAACTGATGTGTGATGGGATGGCCAGCTGCAAGTATAATGCAACAAACCAGACTTTATCTCATGGATTGCACAGGTGCTGCCTATAAGGACCGATGATTCTGGAAATAAACCCTGAAGGAGTTGCCAAGTTAGACAATGTGGTCGTTAATTTTTAGAGAGGAGGGGGTCCTTCCTTCCTTCCTTGCTGCAACATTTGCAAACTTCAGATTTTGATTGTCAGTTATTACATATGGCACTTCCTCCCCATCCATCTATTTGAGGGTCACAGTCTAAATCCTTGGAGAGAAATCTTACTAGATAATTAGGTAGATGTGCGATCAGCTGTGCAAGAGTCCATCACACATGTTTATGAAGCCTTAAATTATATATTTTAAAACCCACAAAACTGATTGTTTCATGTCCCATCTGCAGTTATCCAGTGGAAAATAAATGATAAGTATCTAATTTTTGCTTTCTCCTGGCTCAGCTTTCAAGAGGGGGCCCTTGTCATTCCCACCCTCCGTATGTACACAAACATACAGCCCCATATATTATGGGATAGGGTAGTTGTCTCTTCTCTGAGAGACATTTGTGTCATCTGGTTTATGGGACTCCTGTGAATTATCTGGCAGGCAATGTGGTACTTGAATATTTAGACTAACTAGGTTACATTCTCTTGTGGTCTAGCAAGCATTTATTTTGCTGATGTCTTGAAGAGTTTTTTAAATGCTGCAAGAAAAAACCCACCGTTGCATCAGAATAAACAGTTCTAAGTGGAGTTGCAGAGAGATTTTTGGGTGTTTGTGAACTTTCTAGTTGTGATAGAAATATAGCTTCAGAGATACCTGAGATATAGGAGCCTTGAAGATCCCTAAAGACACACTAAATTCCAAGTCTCTCTACCATGGGGAGGGAATCGATAATACTCTGGTTTATGAAGGACAGGGTGATTAATGAAACAGAAAATGAGTCACTTCTTTTATTCACTTAGCCTACAGTCCTGCACACAGTTTGGCTGCTTTAATCCATCTGAAGTCATTGGAAGTTTAAAAACCCAACTGTATGCAGGGCTGCAGCCACAGATTGTTTTGGATCATTTGAAATGAAAAGGAAATAATTTCCAAAAGGTCCAGTTCGATTCTATATCACAGCAGCCATCACCAATATCAGAATCTGTAGGGGACTCATAGAATCATACAATGCAGGAATCTCAACATGCGGTCTCCCATCCAATTCGAAACCATAGCAGGCCCTGCTTAGTTTTGCAAATTCACCAACAGCTTTATTGCTGCACCACTATGAGGACACAGAGAAGAATAAACTAGAGATTTTGAGCTTAATCCCCACAGGTATGATATAGTTCCACTTGATACTAGCCAGAGGCCTCAGCTTGTGAGCACATTGGGGGGGGCAATGTCACACACATCAAGATGTTGGGAAGAGCTGGGGGCTGGGCCAAACGTGGCAGCCGTGTGGTGTCAACCGTCGGCAGCTCCTCCTGGTGCCATCCCTGGGGGCAGGCTGCTTCGACCTTCCTTCCCCTCCAGAGCAGCAAGAAGAGATGGAGCCGGCCACTAGAGCCACACTACACCATGCTCGGCTCTGCGCTTCACCTCAGTGCCTTTGAGACATTGGGGAGGGGGTGGTCCCAACCCCCAAAATATTGAGGGGGCCCAAAAGGGTGCCTCTGATATTAGCACAAAACTGGGCTCCACATTGGCATATAATTTGATGGATACCACAAGCATTAATGTACATGGTCTGAGTGAAATGTTGTGCTTGGGAAAGGAGACCATTTTGAGGTAGGTGCCAGACTTTTCAATTGCCCAAGAAGCAATTTGGAGATCCATGGGGGCAGTTGCTGGATTCTCTCTCTCACACACAGACTAGCTCATGGTCCCATGGGGAAGGGCTGTATCTCAGAGGGAGAGCATCTGCCAAGTTCAATCCCAGGCATCTCCACGTAGGACTGGGAATGTCCCCTTGTCCAAAATCCTGGATTGCCACTGCTAGTCAGTATAGACAGTACAGACCACAAGGTGGGCAATAGGCCAACTCAATATAAGGCAGTTTCCTGTGCTCAGATTTCTTACACAAATAATCAGTCCCTGGAAAAGTGGGGAAAGAATTCATCTCCTTTCAGGCTAATTTCTTAGAAATTATGACAGAGAAAGCTGAGACAGAAATCCTCTCACGTGGAAATGCATGATTCCATCAATATCAAGCCCTACACTCTTCAGCAACCACCTCCCGCCATTTTCCCATTCTGTTTTCCCATTTCTCATTCTATTTACAAGCTATAATATTTTTCTGTAATGTGTTTATTCCATTTATTTCCAGGAAATCATAATACTAAATAAATATAATTGAACTGAATGTGTATAAAGCAAAAGGAAGATATTAAAATTGGATACAATAAAGTGAGTTAAATACAACTGCGGTTTAAAATGCTTCATGGTTTTGAGCATGGCTATTGTTTACCAGATATGCAAACATAGCCACTGGATTAATTTTATCATATTTATTTCCCAGGAGAAAGATATTCTTTTCTGCAATGGAAATTTAAAATCAGAGGATAGATTTACTTCAGAGTCTGGTACACAACTGAAAACTATACAAAGATCCTCAATTATACCAAGTGAATAAAACAACAGGAACTATTGTTTGTCAGGAGATACAGATACATGTATTATATAACCTGACACTGCAATTTAATATTGGATAGCTGTATATTCCAAGATGCCGTTTCTGAATAAATCAATCCCAGATATTTAAACGTATTAACTCGGTTTATGATGTGTTCATCCAGGTGCCAAACATGCTTTTTAGGGCGCTTCCCAAATACAATGACCTGCGTCCAATTGTAGTTTGTAGATAAAGCATTCCTTGTGCAATATGAACTTCATTTTGCAAGCAGCCGTCTCAGGCCCACCTGGGTTCTAGATACAAGTACTAGGTCATCAGCATACATTAAGACTGAGAGTTTTTGGTCAAGAATTGTGACAGGCAAACTGTAGGCCCTCCAGTTCTTTAACCATGTCATTAATATAAAAATTAAACAGGAAAGGCGCCAAAATTCATCCCTGTTTGATTCCAGTAATGGTCTTAACCTGACACTGTAGTCTAAAGGCATAAAAAATATACACTGGAATACTGACATCCTCATCATAGAATCACAGAATCAGAATTGGGATGTCCACAAGGGTCATCTAGTCCAACCCCCGGCAAGGCAGGAATTTCAGCAAAAGCATCCATGACAGATGGCCATCTGCTTAAACGCCAAGGAAGGAGAGTCCACAGCCT